AGGAAAGCTTTGCGGACTTGGTTCCTTCCTTCTACCTCATATGGTTCCTGAAATAGACCTAGGTATCTGGCTGTAAGCATCTTTATTAGATGCACTACCATCCTAGACTGTGATCAAGTTTAAGCCTCTTTACCTCTTTTCATATTTGCTTTAGGATTTTTTTTCTATTAGGAATCTTCTAGCTGTTAACACCCTTTCTGCCCACCACCTCCCAAACTCTGGGAGAAGTACTAGCTCTCCATCCCTGTTTTAGGGTTTCTCATAGACATTTTATTATGTACTTATCCCTAGGTGACCATGGCTAAGTCACTGAAGGTAGCCAAGTCAGACAGGAGTGGACATGCCCTGGTACACAGGTGTCTTGTGTCTTAGAGAGGGCAGTCCCGCAGCACAAAAGTCTGGTGTTGAATCTGAGGACCAGTAGAGGTTACTGCATAGTGGGGAGTTTTGTTGCTGTTTTGAGTCAGGGTTTTACTATGTAATCTACTGCCCTTGATCCTCCAGGCTCTCCTTTCCCAGTGTTGGGGTTATACACATGTGTTACCTTACCTGGCTTCTAAATTGTTCTGGGTCATATAAATCCAGTCAGAGTATAAACAGTTGGTATAAAAGCTGATGTAAGAAAAATCCATACACTTTTGATATCAGATGTGTAAAGAAAATGGTTCTTAGGTGCTGTGGAATAATGCTCTTGTACACTGTAAAGATTAGTCACTCATATTGGTTTAATAAAACACTGATTGGCCAGTAGCCAGACAGGAAGTATAGGTGAGGTAACTAGACTAGGAGAATTCTGGAAAGAGGAAAGGCAGAGATGCAGTCACCAACCAGACACAGAGGAAGCAAGATGAGAATGCCTCACTGATAAAAGGTATCAAGCCACATGGTTAAACATAGACAAAAATTATGGGTTAATTTAAGTTATAAGAGCTAGTTAATAATAAGCCTGAGCTAATAGGCCAAACAGCTTATAATTAATATAAGAATCTGTGTGTTTCTTTGGCACTGAACAGCTATGGGACTAGGTAAGACAGAAACGTCTGTCCACACTTAAGTTCCCCTAGTAGCATAGAAAGGCATTCTGAAACATACAGGTCCTGTGTCTGGGTTCTGAGTGTCTCAGCCATACTCACTTCTGAATCATCACTTGCTATTCCTTTGCATGAGAATTTAGGTAGAGTGTGTAATAATTTCAATTTGACTTATTTTTCCCTAACAATTCTGGAGGTAGGATATCTTTTCTGTATCTACTGATAATTTGAGTTTCTGTTTATTTTCAGTCAATGCCCCTGGCGGTTCATACATATTGGTAACTCATCTTTGTTGGTTATATGAGTGTTGATTATCTTGTTATAGGCTGTGCCTTATCTTTTCAATGTATTTAATATGATTTTTTTCTATAGAAGGTTAAATTAATGTTAAATTCATCATTCTTTTATGGCTTGTCCTCTGTGTAACTTGCTTAAGAAATCTTTCTTCTAAATTACCCTGTTCAATCTTCGGAGACTCCAACAGACTCCTATCTTACTTCCTACTATACTTTATTCAACTGTGCAAGCTTCTAGGACATTCTACTAGGTAACTTTCTTGAGCCCCTGCTTCTGGTGTGTGCAACTGTCCAGTCAGACCTACCTACTGATTCCCAAGGGATATTTCTTGGGACTTAGATGCATAAAATACCCCAAACATCTCTACAGCACTACCCCAAAATGATCTGTGGACAGTCAAATTTCTGGAAAACTACCTTCTAGACCCTACTGAATACTTAGCATTGTTACCAGCTCTGGAAGACCCTATAGAAGAACACCTTGTTTAACTGTATTTAATGCTGTTCATTTGATCAGAGTATCTCCGTAGATATCATACCTATTAGCATCTTGTAGAACTAATCACTTGCTTTTGGAATGGTATTCCTGGAACTCAGGATTGACTTTTAGATTTTTGAAGGAGCTAGCTCCTTTTGATGATTTTTCTAGAGTTTTTCTTGCTTTTCTGAAACCACAGATTTTTGGATTCCTTCATTCCAGAAAATCTGTCTCCCAGAAATAGTAGTTGAAGATAAACTTGGGCTCCTACTGATATCTGTGAATGCCATAGCAGTAGCACCCCCTCCTTCCTTCTCTAAGTCTCTTTGTATTTAGAATCTCTCTTATTATCCCAAGCACCTGCCTAGTGTCTATATAAACTGCAGTGCTGTGAGAAGAATTACACAATCCTCTCTCTTCTAATTACGAAGTTCAACCTGAAAAAGAAAAAAAAGAAGAAGAAGAAGAAGAAGAAGAAGAAGAAGAAGCACATACACAGTGGTTGTATGCAAATGATTTTGTAATTCTTGTTATTAAATGAATGATTGGACCTCAGTAGAGAGCTTTCTGTAGAAACAGTGCTCAGCAACAGAGCTAATCAACCATATTTAATACTGGTTAAAATGCAGATATGTTTGCAACAGACCTGGAACCTGGCCTGTGGCTCTGCTGTTCTAAAATACCTGGTTAGGTCATGTGTATGCTCTATGGACCACATCTGGGTAACAAGGCTCCGTAAAGCTTGTTCTACCACGCAGAATGGTTTCTCAATTTGGAAAAAATGTGGCCCTGAAGTAGTCTAGGAAAAATACATGGTCCAAAGGCTTGAAATCAGGACTGCAGTCAACCTGGCTGTAGAAGGTGTTTCAGAGTCACTGTGAAATATGATATTGTCTCATGCCAAGAACTCATGGGACGTACAGATGATATTCGCATGTATATGTAGTTGGTTTGTTGACTCTTTAGGGGTCTTCCACCAAACTTCCAAATAAATACCCTGAAACTTATCCTTACTTATGAATGCCTGGCCTCAACTTGGCTTGTTTCTAGCCAGCTTTTCTAACTTTAATTATCCCATTTCTTTTTAACTACATTTTGCCTGTGGGCTTTTTAACCTTTCTTTATTCTGTACTTTATTCTGTATATCTTTCTTTCCTTATTACTCCATGGCTGGCTATGTGGCTGGCGCTTGGCATCCTATTGTTTTCCTTTTCTGATGTAGATGGACCTTCTGTATTTCTGTTGCTTTCATTGGTTAATTAATAAAGAAACTGCTTGGCCTGATAGGTCAGAACATAGGTGGGTGGAGTAGACAGAACAGAATGTTGGGAGAAAGAAAGCAGAGTCAGGCAGTCGCCATGCTTCTCCTGCCCAAGCTAGATGTGGGTTAAAATCCTCCCGGTAAGTCACCACCTCATGGTGCTACACAGATTATTAAAAATGGGTTAATTAATATATGAGAGTTAGCTAATAAGAGGCTGAAGACAATGGGCCAGGCAGTGTTTAAAAGAATACAATTTCCATGTAATTATTTTGGGTTAAGCTAGCCGGGCGGACGGTGGGAAGCAGTCTGCCGTTCCTTTTACAGAGTGGTGCCCCACGTTGGGGGCCAATTGAAGGGGTGTGGTCAATTGGTAGTTAAAAATTAACCAGACTAACTTAATATAAAAGATGCAACTTTAATAAATAGAAGAAAAGAAAACTTACAAAATCAGGGTTCCAGCAATCCGAAAACACAGGGAGCAAAGAGGAAGCAGCAAGCACACTTTGATCTTTTATTTGTTTTGTGTGGCCCCAGGGGACACACCCTAAGCAAAATGTGATTGGTTGAGGTTCCCCATCACTTTTCCTTTTCTCGCTTCTTGCTCTTCCCTACATTTCTCCTTCTACACATTCTCTCTGCCTGCCAGTCCCACCTATTTCTCTTTCCTGCCTAGCTATTGGCTGTGACAGCTCTTTCTTAGACCAATCAGGTGTTTTAGGCAGGCTATACAACACAGCTTTACACAGTTAAGCAAATATACCATAAAAGAATGCAACACATCTTTGCATCATTAAACAAATATTCCACAGCATAAATGAATGCAACACATCTTTAACTAATATCCCACAGCTGTATGAATGTACTGCCCCCATTTTGAATGTCTCCATTTGATAACAGCTGTCTTCTCTTGGGTCTCAGATATGCAGTCTAATGCCAGGTGGCCTGCTTTTTTGATTTCTAGATTAGAACACATGAACTTCTGTACTAAGTTTCTTTTAGCTACTTTCCTCTTTGCTGGGACAAAGCATCTGATGGAACAACTCAAGGGAGGGAGGATTTACTCTGGTCCTTCACCATGGTGAGGAAGGTGTGGGCAGCCATGACAATGGGAGCTGGCTGTCTGGTGCGTTACATCAGGAAGCTGGGAGAGCTCTAAGGGAAGCAGGCAGGGTTACAACTTTTAAAGTCTTGTTCCTAGTAAGCTACATCAACCAGCTATTTCCCTCCTCTTGCAGGTCCCACTGCCTCCCCAAACCCATCATCAGCTGGAGAACAAGTGCTCCAGCTGTGCCTGTGGGTGGCATTTCCCCTTAAACTATACCACCCTTGTTAGGTTTTCTGCTCACTTTAGGATAAAATCTAAACCTTCTCACGGATCACCAAGAGATAAAATTGGAACCCTGCCTGCCTCTTTAACTACACCTTGTACCTGCCCCACTCATGGAGCGGGACACTTCAGCCACTTGGGGCGTTTTCTCTGTTCCTCAAATATCCTAAACCCATAACTTTAAAGTGAAAACATAGCAAAAGCCCTCACCCATCAGTCATCTGCCTCATTGCATTTGCCTTCAAAATTTTTTTTCTAAGCCTCTTTACTTTGGTGGCTTCTGTTTGCCAGTCAGGTCTCAGGTCAGACTGCAGAGAAGTGTTCCCTGATGCCTGCTGTTAATTATCCTCTTTTATTTCCCTCCCGTTGTCATGCTTGTCTTAAACCGTAATATGTGTTTACGTGTGCAGTGGAAGTTCTAGGCTGTGACCAAGCTGTCTCCTTCCTTGGCTGATTTTTCCATTCCCCAATTGCTGCGATGTTTGACAGTGAATGCTCCAAGAATCACTTATGGTCCAGGGGAGCCATCTAGTCCAGAGGTTCCTAGGAGACCATGATACCATATAGCGGCCTGGAGGGAGTTTGTAACTGATGACGGACTGACCTGTGAGGACTGCAGCCTTGCCTCAGTCAAGGTCCCAAGCTGGCTCAGCTCAATGGAGCCAGCCACACCCACAGCTCCTGTAGGGATGGGATGGAGGCCAGAGTTAGCTCAGCTTAGTTAACTACTTCCCCATCGTGACTCTGTTGGCCACCCCTCCTCATACGCCCCTGTAGGACTTGTTTATTGAGTTTTCAATTACTCGCCTTTGAAAAGAACCTCCATCTCAGACTATGTTTTGACAGAACCCAAATTATTTAAGGTCTGTCTTCCCACCAGAATGCAAGCTCCGGTGGGGCGAGAGGCTTTGTGAGTCCATCTCTGTGTGCTCAGTGCCATGGTCATTAGAGATGCATTAGAGGGTAAAGGTTGACTCTGGATTCGCAGCACAGCTTCTGAGTAACAGTAGTTCAGTAGCAGAGCTGCAGTCTTGGGCTACCCCACAGACAGACAGACAGACAGACAGACAGACGACACGCTAAAGTCAAGTGCAGATCCTTTCACAAGACATGAACTGCAAACATGCTCTTCCTATTTTTATCCTTATGAAATGCAAAACCATAAAAAAGCTGGGGGAGGGGTGGGGATGTCAGCTCCCACCCCATAACACGCCTCCCTCAAGTATCTGATTACACAAAGTCCTCAAAGAATATGATTAATGTAACTCAGCCATATTCACACTCTGACATCCTTCCCAGCCAAACACATATTTTAGCCTCACCCAGTCCTTTTCAACAAATAAGCTGTTTTGAAAATGATTTCCAGGGCGATGTCTGTTGCCATAGGAATGACATTAAATGAAAAGGACAGAAAATATAGAGGGTGATAAACTACATGCTTGGATGACACACTTGACTTGGAAGCCTGTGTTCAAATGAGGCATACATGCCAAGATTTTTATGAAAGACAAAATTAAAATGTATCGCGATCAAGCTGTAACTGACAAGGCTTTGTGTGGAGGCTGTTAACATACTGCTCCGTGTATTTATTGTTTGTCATTTTACTGGCCCTGACAAAGGTCTCTCAGCGCTGTAAATCACACCATTAAATCTGCCACGAGCAACAGAGACTGTAGGGGAGAAGAAAGCATGGTGTTGAATCCCCTCGTCTGGTCCAGGCTGAGTGGGCTATCACGGCTGCCAGGGAGCCTTCCCCCTTAGGGCTGACACTTTTACAAGTGTCAAATTGTTGGCTTTTGACCCTTTGGAAGGAGAAAAAAAATATTAATAACAAAAGCTTTACCCTTCCTCCACCCTGTTTCCAGTTGCTTCTGCTTTCACACTTGGGAGAGATGCCAGGGGTCGCCCCCACGCAGCCTATTCACGCTGTTTGAGGCAGAAGACTTCAGGTATTCTAGGGAGGTCCTTGGACTGTGCCCTGCTGACCGGACAGACTTTAGCTGCTTTCTTGAAGGTGTGCTTGAGTTTCCCATGAGCCTCTTGTCTAACATGTTTGCCTTTGAACTACAAGGTTGACAAATGGGCTATAAGCTACAGTGCAGACCAAAGTGGGCTGGGGTGTGACACCTTCAAGTATCTGGGTGAGTGTTCCCTCCTTCCCTCCCTCCCTCCTTCCCTCCCTCCCTCCTTCCCTCCCTCCTTCCCTCCCTCCTTCCCTCCCTCCCTCCCTCCCTCCCTTTCTCCCTCCCTTCCTTTCTCCCTCCTCCCCTTCCTGCTCCCTTCCTTTCCACCCTTCCTCTTCCCTCCTGTTCCTCCTGCTCTAGAGATCCCTCAGTACAATCCTGGGGAGGGAAGTCCAGAGCTAATGGAATCTCGGTTCCCTTGCGTTGGGGTTTGTAGTTTCGACACATTTTTAAAACCCCGTGAGCGGCAATTTCCTTGTCTGTTTGGCATGAAAAGGGAAGCGGTGTTAGACTGAGTGACAGATGCACCTCCACTTAAGATGACTTCTTTCAGGAATCGATGACTTTACCCTTGTACGAAGTAGAAACTGGATTCTGAATTTTAAATTTATATTTGCTTTTAACCAGGCTAGCGTGACATGTGCCATGTTTTCTTGGGATTCTGGGTTGTGACGCAAGTGGAAGCTGCATCGGCCAGGCGATCAAGGGGAGGAACTGTGGCAGAGCCCCGCTGTGTGGCAGGTGGGTCGGTATGTGGGAAGCATCTTGACATGTGACGTCCTTAGCTTATGATGGGGTCATCAGGCTCCAGTATCTTAAGCATGAAAGCCTCCTAGATCTACCCTCCAAATCTGAATAAAACAAAGGGACTGTGAGTGGCTCTCTAGGGTATTCTAGCAACTTCGGGGAGGGGTTCCTCTACAGTATTTAGAACAAACCTCAGTTATGGGAAAATATCAAACAATGTGTGTTTCTTCTGCAGTAGGGCAAAGGGCAAAGGAAAAAAAAAAACCCTACCAGGGCCGGGCTCTGAACAAGGGAGTAGCAAGGCAAGAATGTAATCACTGACTTGGAGTGGGGACAATGTTTTCAGGATTCATTAAATATAGGGAGCTGCCTGCCAGTGTCTCTCTGTAATGGCTGACTTTATTTTTATAACACAAATGGATGTTTTCGGCAACAGATTTTGAAAGAGAGAACAGCTTTCATTTGCACCCTCATGTTTCTTTCCCGAAACTTCTAGGCGAAGAACCATCATGAGACCTGCTTGGACACAATCGAGCAACAGGCCCCCAACATTTGGAGGTTTACCTTTTGTGTCCGGTCAGTTACTATCAGAAATCAGTACACGCTGGCTTCAAAAATTGGCAACCTCTACCTTGAGTTTGCAGTAATCCCGTAATGATAGGTTTGAGGTAAGGTTAAAATTGCTTATAATTGAGGGACGGGTGGTCAGTGAACCATGCCATTCTTTCGCCTTCACCCAAACCTTCCTATTGCTGGGTGGCACTCCTGTACAGAGAACTTCCTTAAAAAGAAGCAAAGAGCAAAGCCCCCAGTTGACAGTCTGTGTTGAGCCCTTGGTCTGGATTCTGTTTCTGAGATGACTCTGATTTGCCGTTTTCCCAGTGGGTTCATCAATGCTGATTAAGGAAGCATGTGCTCAAACCTGCCAGGGTTGAAGCCATGATCCCAGCATCCTCTTATGTGGAGTGTACTCATGGCCCCCGAGGAGTGGTCTCCCCTCTCATCCCCACTTCTCTCATCCCACGTGACCACTGTCACTCAAGGAAGTGAAGCACATGGGCCTGATTTATTATGTACTAAGGGAATTATAAATCTGAAGTAGTGTTGCATTTTTATTGACCGTTAGTTTAGAGATGTCATACAAATCTCAAACTCTTTCAAACATTAAAAAAAAAATCTAAGTGTGTGAGTGTGTGTGGGTGTTTGCATGTGTGTGTGTGTCTGTGTCTGTGTGTGTGTGTGTTTGTAAACAGCATGTGAATGTAGTGCCCATGGTAGAAAGACGAGGCATTGAGTCCCCTGGAGCTGGACTTTTAGTCAGTTGTGCACATCCCAGGGTGGGTGCAAGGGACTGAACTAAGCTATTCTGGGAGAGCAACCTGCCCTCTTCACCACCGACTTCTCTCCAGCACCAAAGCTCAGCTCTTTCTCACACCTTAAGTCTCAGTCTTGCCCAGAGATTAACAATCAATCATATATGAGTTGTTAAATCAACTGTAATAAGAGAACTGAAAGTAATTGGAAACTTGGGATGTTATAATTTATATAAAAAAGATTATTTTTATTCCATTCTGTCTGTCTTCGTTTGTTTTCCTGTTGCTGTGATGAACATCATGACCAAAAGCAAACCGGTGGAGGGAAAGGGTTGATTTGGCTTCCGGGTTATAGTTCACCATCAGGGAAGTCAAGGCCGGAACTCAAGCAGGTAGGAAAAAAGCAGAGACCATGGAGGGGGCACAATTACTGGCTTTCTCCTCCTGGATTGCTCACTTTGGTTTCTCATTTACCGCATCTGCCCAGGGACAGCACCACCCATGGTGAGCTGAGCCTTTCACACCAATTATCAAGCAAGAAAATGCCCCTCTTGGTGGAGGCGCTTTCTCCATTTGAAGTCCCCTCTTCCCAGATGACTCTGGCTTGTGTCAAGCTAACAAAAGCGCAATCAGTACACGCTGCTGTTCCAGATCAGAAAATCGTCAGTGAGCTAGAATATCACTAGCTTAATTTAAAAAAATATAATACCATTTCTAAGTATTATGATTTAAAAAAGACATCATCTGACATTTCCAGCATGGGGCCGTCAACCAAAGCTTAAGTCAATGCCCACCCTCTGATTTTTGACAATTGAGAACAATATTGAACCTCAGATTATCTAACTTTATATTTGGCCTATAAGGAATGCGTGTTTTAAGTGGTTTGATGTATATGTTAATGATTATCGAAATTTATTAACATGACCAACAAATCAAGGCTTAAATGAAATATTGTATGTGAAAATTAAAAGCATTATTTGTGATGTTTGGATAAATATAAATTCATCGTATTACCCAGATTCTTACCAAGGGTATCCCTTTAATATCCTAAAAATATGTTCCCCCATGGAGTCCCCCGTGGTTTGATAATAATTTATTTAAGGTTTTTTCCCCAGAGGATTAAGTTACTTTCATAAATATAATTAATTAAATGCCAGCCCAGTCTGTCTTGTTTACATTTTAAGAGAAAATTGAGTCAAATTTTAAAGCGTTTCTATGGCTGAAAAAGTTGGATCATGTATTGAATTTTGTGGCGGGCGGAGGGGCACTTAAAGGAAAGGTCTGGTATCTCTCAGTTGCTTGTCTAATCATAATCTTTCCATTTGAGAGGCTGTAAGCAATGGCCGATTAGGTCTCACCTGCAAAACGTTCAGCTGGTAGAGGTATTGGGGGGATCCGGAGCTGAGAGCTGCTCCTCACTGTCGCAGGATCTGGGTTTGGTTACTGGGCCCACAGAACTGTTTTTTCTTAGTATTCTTCTGTAATCTTCAAGGCATGTAAACCAGGCTGCTGGTCCATTGGGTGTTCTAGGTGTTTTTCTCTTAATGTTCTGGCTCATCTTCACCTCTTTCTTCCTGATTTGGCTCCATTTCCACTCAGGCATTAATTTTATTGCTATGTTCCCTGAAGTGTCCCTCTTATCAGCGTGGACACCTTT